TTCCAAATACCATGTTTCAGGTATAATAAGCTTCCCATTAACACTGTAATTCTAAATAGACACAAAATAATGACATGAATGATCAAATTGAATTCACAAAAAGTTATCATATGTTATAAACAACCAAAAACTCACTCATCACAGATGGTTTTAAAAAGTGGTGGTTGATACGATGCGTTGTGTTATGTTCCATATAGGTCCCATGTGACATACAACACCAGTGTTTGCAATTACTGCCTGTCGATACACCAAAGACGAGTGACTCGCCAGTCGGCTGCTAAAAATTTAAACTTACATGCACAGTGGTCTTGTATGGTCTGCTTAAATAACAATTTTGAAAAGACAGTTTTACTGAATAATATTATAGGATTAAGTTGAATACCATGTCTTACAATGACTGATACAAAAGATTGTGAAACTAAGAACAAAACAATTTGAAATGAGACATTTGAATTACATATTTGCATGTTGGGAGAATGATGAGGTTTTTGTAGCATTTATAGTTGTTTTTTAGGGATTGAGACCCTGACAAAAAAAGAATACACTAGAAGAAAATAAGGTGTACATGAGCAAGCTGGTCCTTGTCTTCTTCTACTGAATAAAGAGACTAAAGAATTTGAATAGATTCTTTAATGCAGACTGGTAACTTTCTGGCGGAGCTAGTTGAAAGTTACCTTCCCTGATGGACACTATTTTAGTAGATTTCAAATACTGACAACATGAGTTTACATAAACACATGATGCATGGCGACCATCCCGATTTAACTATATAAACACATCCCATCTCATTCTAACTTCATCCAGGTTGGTTAATTTATTAAGTCAGTAAATTATTGTAACCACAATGTTAACAAAGATATATTTTTTCTTCATATGCAGTTCAGAGTTTGGTTTTTTAAAGACTAACAAAGAAATTACATGTATTGTGTTTTAATAATCCATGGCTTCTTACTTACCTTTGGCATGCGCGTCGGCAAAGATGGCAAAGTTTCTGGCATATAGTAATATCTCCTGTTGGTTTGCTGTATTACTCCGCAGTAATTCTATAAACTGTAGTCGATGTAATTTAAACTCTAACGAACTGTTCTGTGATTGCAATTGCTGTCTATGTAGTTGTGCCCATCTAGGTATTAAAAAGAAACACATGTAATGGTAAAAATTGAGAAAAACTTTAAAAACCATCTGTATTACCGTAATATCTTTCTATAATTAATGTTTTATTTCAGTTCCCATTGTTACAGAGCCGGTAATAATGGGAACTGAAATAAATTGCTAAGTATTCTCCCCAGAGCTCACACCACTATCAATTTGCATATAATTTGCATGGCTCAGATAGGAAGCAAAGCTTGCTGAGTTTCACTTTATTAAAGTAGATAACTTGGCATTCAAGTTGGGAGACTTCAATTGTTAATGGGTATTCAGTGTCTATTTTGTATGAGTTATATTAGCTGTGACATTTGTTGTATATTGACATTGTGCTGTAACTAATTTCTATTGTATGCAATAAAGAAGGATGCAGTATGACAAATGATAGTGACAATTTTCAGGAAAATTATAGGTAACTCTAAGTTCATTCCCACAGATTCATTGGGGGGGGGGGTGTCTTGGTGATATGATATGAATTGCATGAATAGCAGGAAATATTTACTCCCCAGATTCAGAACGGAAGAGAATCTTTCTGAATTCATGCACTTAAAACATGCAATTCATAAAAACCCAATGAAATTGAAAGGCAAAATGATCACCAACATTCTGATACACTGAAAATCACTTACAATTAAATGTTCAGTACATTTGCACTTGTACATCAAATATTTCCAAATAATTTTTTTTAATATCTAATAGTAATACACTATAATGTAGGTAATGCCAATTATATATCTATTGCATTTTATAAAACACTCACTGCAATGCTGGTAGTAAATTCCTTCGTTTGAGAGCTTCTAATATTTTATTGATTTCTATGAATGGTTCTTTGTTTGTGCCATCTACTTGTAAACCAGCATCCTAGTTGATAAAAAAAAAAACATATTTAAATTATCATGTTTTTATAGATCAACAATTCAGATTACATATTTGTGTTGCTATAGGTACATTTCAACTAGACTTGCTAATGTGCATACAAGTCCAATGACTCAATATATTGCCATTCAAGGCAGGATTAAAGTCCAATCACAGGGATAAACCCAAATGTCAGAAAAAACAAGCAGCCTGTCGGCTGAGATAGCTCCGCTGTTAGCAATGCACATGGCAATTAAAGAACAGAAGATATCATTACAAAATGAACAAATCTTAGAGAGGTCCACATGTAGTACCTATATGCATAATATCAAAGCAATTGGACTCGCAGTTTTCAACAAGAAGTCGAAAATATCAGTTTTTACCCAAAATGACAAAAATTTTCACCAAAATTAGAGAATTAAAGATATCATTACAAAATGAACAAATCTGATAGAGGTCCACATGTAGTACCAGTATAGGTAATATCAAAGCAATTGGACTTGCGGTTTTTAACAAGAAGTTGAAAATATCACTTTTTACCAAAAATGACAAAAATATTCACCAAAATTAGAGAATTAAAGATATCATTACAAAATGAACAAATCTGAGAGAGGACCACATATAGTACCTATATATGTAATATCAAAGCAATTGGACTTGCGGTTTTTAACAAGAAGTTGAAAATATCACTTTTTACCAAAAATGACAAAAATATTCACCAAAATTAGGGAATTAAAAATATCATTACAAAATGAACAAATCTGAGAGAGGACCACATATAGTACCTATATATGTAAAATCAAAGCAATTGGACTTGCGGTTTTTAACAAGAAGTTGAAAATATCACTTTTTACCAAAAATGACAAAAATATTCACCAAAATTAGAGAATTGAAGATATCATAATGAAATGAACAAATCTGAGAGAGGTCTACCCAAGGTACATATACACCAAGAATCAGAGCATTCAGGCTTGTAGTTTTCAAAAAGAAGTCGAAAAAGTAAAACATTGACACGGACGACGACGGACAATCACTCATATGATAAGCTCCGCTCGACAAAGTCGACAGCGGAGCTAAAAAGTTCAATAAAAGAATGCCATGCATGGCACAGTTCTGGTTAGTTATCAAATTTCAGATATATTATGTTATGTTTATACAGTAAAACCTGTCAAAATCGACTGCTGGATAAACCAACCTACAGTCAGAACCGACTGATTTATGTATCCCCGAAATTTCTCCATAGACGTCTATGTTAAGACAATCTGTGAAATCCGACCACTGTCTACTTTGAACATTGATCATATTGATCAGTCCCAAGTCCAATATTCACACTGAATACATCGACCATCCGACCAGTTGCATCACATCCCCTGTCTAGTAATCTGGTCTGACCGACCTAAAAAGTGTACATTGTGTTCAATTTACCATGAACGTCACAGCAACAATTCCAAATCTCACACTACAAGTAATGACGTCCTGTGTAAAACAATGGCACATGATTAAGTTTTTACACCACACACCCACGCATAGTGTGGTGTCTGGACAGTATAATGACCCTGGATATAAACAAATCATTGGCGTCATCACCTTCAGTTGCGGTGAAGTACACTGCATTATGACCTTTTCAACGAGCAAAAGACATTTAGTTTTCTTCTTTTCTAACGATTCTGATCGATAATTTTGTGCTTTTGAATGTTTCCGCAAAAGGGGCTTCAAGATTAAAATTGACGATGACGAAGAAGCAGGTGACAACAAAGAAATCGGAAACCTCATTCAGCAAGTTACAGACCCGCAAACACAGTGTAGCGTTGATGAATACCCCCACTTTGATGAACGTATACCGACTGAAGCAATGTATGGCGGCGAGTGGGATTTTTGAGAATTTTATTGCAGAGTGAGAAAACCATGAATCTACAGACAACGATGACATAAATTGCAATGACAGTCAAATTATCGACCCCGACGACGGCAGTGACTTGACGCATGGCAATGTGCTAGACATGTTGACGAGATTACAGAACTTCGCAATAAACAAAGACTCCAGTTACTTGACAGCTACCCAAGATCTCACAATTCTAACGGGAATTAAAATCATTGAAAAAAAATGTTCTTTAAAGCAGTCAACACTTGACTAAACGGCAAAATCGACTGTCTGGATAAATTATGATAATTACATGTAGCTCACATGAACTTACATTGTCATTCAAAATGGTCGCCTTCAGTTACGATACGCGATACTTACCCGGTCTATTCGAACAGTTATTTTAATGTTTATTGATTTCATGTACATACCATAATATTCTTGTCTTGTTTGGTAAATTATTTTATTGAAACAATACAATAAATGTAAATATAATCACTGGAGGCAAACTCTGATGTTTTTCATTTGTCCTGTGTTTATAGCACATGTAATTGTTGTTTCAATCGAAGTCACGCCCACTCTGAATAAACCGACTTCCTCTGAAACCGACCATAAATCCCAGTCCCAGTCATGGTCGATTTTGACAGGTTTTACTGTAGTAATATAGTTGGAACATAATCATGTCAGAGATCTGGATCCAGAAGCTGATACTTGATTATGATTTTTTAACATTATAAAATGACCGACGCTTGTCCATATTGAGCGGTATTACTCTGGAACAGCATTAATTGAAACAAAATGGCCACCAAGCGGTCATTTTATATCGGATAGTCCAACCAACACATCTGTATATCTATGATATGATGTATAATGAATATATAACATTTTAACATAATCAGTCAAAGCATGTCAGAGATTATGGCACTAGACAGTAGACAGGCGTGTCAAAATGACACCAAGACCTCCATTTTCTATACTGTTCCATTCAATGAAGCTATAAGAATGCAGCATTCTGTGTGTGATGCATGCCTTGGAACAATACCGACCATGTATATGTGTAATGGAATGCATAGAGTTACTATGAACAATAACAATTTGGTGCAACATTTCTTTGTTAATTTTTGATCAAACGAACCCAACTTTCAACTACAGATACAGATCATGATCAAAATTCTCAGATAATATATTATCATTATTACCGTACTCGACCGCGTTAGCGCCCAGGGGCCTCAACTCAGAAAATCACGATTTTTTAGGGGTGGGCGCTTACCCGAGCACCCCCCTCGAAAAAGAGTGCAAATGAAAAATTTGATTCATCAAGTGACAGATTACGTCTTTGAGGGAAATCAAATTACGAAATAGTTGAGTCGTCATTGATTTTCACAATGAAGAAACAGAAATGATCGATCACAAAAAATATGCACATTTTATTACAATATTAATTACGTACCACCAGAATTTACGAAATTAAAAACATTTGAGTCTGTTGGAACACAGTCGAAGTCAAAATTGTCATATTATCTCCACTGACGAAGGTGTTGGATCGCACGCAAACTCTCGAACAAAATCACTTTCTGCCATGATGCATTTGCAGATTTCACCTGCAGCGGCGTCCTTTGACCTAATGGGTCAAGTTGGTTATTAACCAATCACAATGCTGTGTTGTACTGACGCAATTCTTCGGAAATTCCCGAAGACTTTCCGGTAATGCAATGCGGAAGTGAATTATCGATGTCGAAGTACGATCTGTTGGAATTGATTTCAGCAAATAAACGACATGGTTTTTCCAAAAAACTAGTAACTAGCCATTTTTGAGAGGTAAACTGAATATGGCAT